TTGATTTTTTACAAAAATGTTGTTTACGAGACTGAGATAATAAAAAGGAGAAAACAACAATATTTGATAGGTTAATTATTAATCATTAATCCTTAATTATAGATGCGCAGTCTCTGAAACTTTTGCTACTTATTTTGCGTTGTTGTCCAATTACATTTTCTTTTTAAAAATATATAAAACCTGATCTTATGCATAAAAAGACAAGAAAATACAACAGCGAGCACGTATATCTAATTATTTTTATTTTCTTCTTCTTTTCATGTCTGAAAGTAAGAGTCACTTTCCCTAACTGTTCGCAGTTAAGAAATTAAATATATAACATGTTTTTCGATCTAATCTTAAACGCAATTTAAGTCTGTTTAACTCATCAACGGTTAGAGTATACATTTATTTAAATGACTTCTTTCATTATTAATTACGTTAAACGTTGAAAGTCAGAGTTCTTGTTGCGTTTCTTCGTCGGATCGCTTTTATGCATATATGGTGTCAAGACACCTCAGAACCAACCACCGGTGTTTCACAATGTTCTACCGTGAGTAGTACTGATTTACTTCCGACTTAGATAGCACTAGACTGAGACACGACGGTACTTTCGCGATTAATAAGACAGATAGCGGTAAGTGAAGTAATTCAGCCGTTGTGGAAATACGTGACAGGTAAGCGTCAGCGTGTAGTTTCTGAATACTACTAACTCGAATAACGTATTTCCGGGAACATTATTATCTGAGATCAATGTTACGTTTATTTATTCGATTACGGCCTCTTAGATTATTTAACGGTAGAACTAATAAAAAATCAATTTCGAAGAAAATAATTTAGCATTTAGATTAATTTCAGATTGATTTTTAACTGCGTAATAATTAATGGTAATGTATGATAAGAATTAAGATTACGACTCTATTAAATTGTTTATGAATTAACATTTATCATAAATATAGATTATATAATAAACACAAAATTTTATATATATATGTCTTCTAATCTATATATAAGTTTATGATTTAATTCTTTGATTACGTAGGAGAAACTAAATAACAATGGAGAAACTTGATAGGTTGTATATTCAATTAAATATTTACGTAATATCATGACGCACAGTATTGTATTTAAATAATACAGTATTGTATTTAAATAACTGCGTGTTAAATTTTATCATCACAGAAAATCTTATAGAAAAGCGTCGCAAATGTGCTACATAATCGAAATTAATGTCGTATCAGCCCAATCTCGAAACAATCAAGTTCGATAGGCGATCAAATATCTCAGAGGGAAAACAAAATGCTAATACATTTAGCAAAGATATACAAGTAAGTCGATAGAAACTTTCCTCCGCTTCTCGCGTGACCCGACTTACTTCGAAAAGATCACGCTCGCCTCCTGGGACCTAAGTACGTAAGAACAAAGCTTATCGATATGTTTCACTTCTTCTCCTCGAAAGAAAGCGACTTGATGACTCTCGTAATCTTTTCCCGGAGTCTGCGATCAAAATTATGTACCTAACATGCTGTTGTTTTCACAAATATTCAGTAAATAATTCCTTTTATAAATGAAATTTTCAGCAATTCACAAACGGTTGACTTATTCATAAATTTAATAAATAAATGAAATTCATAAATTTAACAAATAAAATAAATAAAGTAAATAAAATAAATTGTTTACAAATTAATCACGCATCAGAAACTTTTAACTCGTTCTCCAAATTGTTTCGACAAATTAATTAATTAATTAAAAATCAAATTACTTTAACAAATTAATTTAAATCACCAATCCGAAAAATCCAATTACAATAAAATTGGAAATCACAGTTTATAATTGATACATTGCCGCATCAATGTCGGTCGCCCTGTAATATTCGTATATCGATAAATCATAAGAAAGTGAATCACGTCTAATTACCTTGTCTCGTTCATCAATGCGTTACGATTCTCGCCGCGACGTTAATTATCTAATTCGCAAGAATTACGGTGGAGACCAGTGGAATTTCCGTTTTGAGAATGGTCTGCCGTTCTCACAAGCCGCTGACGGTGGTTAAAAGAAACGCGCGCAAATCGTAGGAAGAAACGTATCTCCCGTAAACAAAGATCGAAGCACGAAATTATTGGAAGGAAATTTTCATCATAAACCTCCGCTGTAAACCGCGAACTCGGATCGCGAACGCACTCGCGATCCCACTTATCCCCGATATGGTGAATGGAGTTGCTGCTCGTTACATCGATTACGGCATCTTCTTTTACTCTCTCTCTCTCTC